TTATACTCAAACACTCCCGCCCTCCTTCACTCACTCACACACACTCACTCACTCACTCACTCACTCACACCCTCACTCACTCTCACTCACTCATCACACTCACTCACTCACTCACTCACACACACACACATTCACTCACACACTCACACACACTAACACACACACACTAACACACTCACACACATACACTCACTCGCACACACACACACACACACACACACTCACTCTCATCCACTCATTCACAAACTCACACACTCACGCTCAAACACTCACTCACCCACACACTCATCACTCACCCCCTCACTCCCTCATCCGGCCACTCAGTTTTCATCAATTTCAGCACCAACCTCGTATTCCTCGTATCCTTCTTCAACAATCTTCCTTCTCCTGACCCTGCGTTTCTTCCTCTTGTTGAGCGCGTCCAGATTCACGATCGCCTTCCCGGACATCTTGCCGTCGATCCCCCACTGAAGCATGCACAAAAATGTTAACTATTTCCTAGGACAACTAGTAGGTACCATGTTTAAAGTTTAAACTTTTGGTCCAACACAAACAATTCTCTCACCTAGAGCTTTCGACCAGTCACTCTGGTCTTCCTCAGTAGACTGACCCAGTGGGGCTTGTCACATGGCTTCTTTGAAGTGTGAAGTCAACACAAGACTATTTCCTGAGAGGGGGGAAGGAGGCTATTTACATCAGGGTCCACCACCCTTCACTTAACCGCGACGGGGCCCGACATCGTCTACCAGATACCTTTGACCCAGTGTTGACGCCATACTTCAAAGACGCCGCGTGAAAAGCCTCATTGGGTCAGTCCACTAGTGTCCAAACCCTAAGGAAGACCAGGGACTGACTGGTCGAAAGCTCTAGGTGAGAGAACTTTTTGTATTGGATCAAAAGTTTTAACTTTACACATTTATGATACACTTTAACTTTCATGATAGTATAAGTCAATCAAATATTAGAACTAGAAAGGTAACAGTTGCAAAGCAGATGCAAAATACGCTGAAGCTTAGACATCCGGATAACCCAACACAACAGGGCTGCAGCATTAGTTACCATAGTGACAGATGTCAGGTCCTTGTCAGTGACCTTATTTTTTTGCTTGGAAAAGGGGAAGAAACGGATCAGAAACAATATCTTTTACTTCTTTAAAGGTACACGTAATTATACCTAATCGAATGACCGAGCAGTAAACAACGTAGGAGTGCAAAGGTCGTGAACTCTAACCTCATATATGGTCTTCTTCTCCTCCACGAACCTGACCTCCTGCTCGAGGTCACCGCCGTGTTTCCGTTTCCGCTCCTGGCTCAGGGCGTTCAGGTTCACCAGGGCAGTGCCCTTTAACCCCTTCTTCACGCCGCCATAGTTGTACTCGACCTGGGAAGTTATGAAGAACAACAGATTATAGATAAAATATGGCTTGAAGATAAGTAAATTGTATGTAAATCCAGTATAAACCCTATACCGTTACTAACATAGCAGTTTAAATATAGAATGTATTATAATTGGGCATGATTTTACAGGTCTACCAAAAGGATTTCATAAATAGAAAACTAGTTTTATACATTTGCTCTGTTTTGTTGTATTTTCTTTAAGTTTTATGTCATACGTTTACATCTAGCATCAAATTCCAATCATAGAATTTAAAAAAAAAATTGAAATTAAACTAAATTATTTGATTTAAAATTAAACTGAGTTACAGTCGTTTCACGGTCATCTAGCAATCGTTGTCTGTTGAAAACTCAAGTCAAATCATTATATTATGTATTGTTCTGTGCAGGGAGCGTTGAAAACCGCCATTGGCGATATGATGCCCCTGGATAAATAAATAAAAATACATCTAGCACGATATTTTAATTTAAAAAAATCAAAGGCACAGGTTTGGTCGTTGTACTGTCACCACCTAGAGAAAACTTGACTTGCCTTTAGAAAATCAAAGTTAAATGATTCAATTCCTACCTGTGTTTCATCTACAACTCTTGTCTTGATGTCATAGCCTTTCCTGGTGCTGTAGTCGGCCCTGGTCGAGACCGACGACTCATTGAAGGACTCCATGGTCGATGACGTCACCGTGCTGTCCAGCGTGCTGCCCCTGCTGTTCCCGCTGATGTAATGGCTGCTGTCCAACGTGTTGTACCTTTCAAGGTATGAATATATTAACGAGGGCCTATGTAATATCTTTCTGCACAATGACCTGGTGCACACCATCTTAAACTAATGGCTGGAAAGATACGTATTCAACCAGGCTCAAAATATAAACATACATGCAAGCTCAGGGCTAAAAATCGATTATTGGGAACAAAGGCACTGGTGCACCTAACCTACAAATGTAGGTGTACAAGAAATATGGTTGGTATAACATGAAAATAGAATTTTAACCAGATCTAATTACAAAACGTACTGTGTATCCTGAGAGCTTAAATCTGAAATTCTTTACCTAACTTAACAAGGGTTTTACCATTTTTTCTAATAATGGTTTTACAACTTCTTTTTCTAACAATGGTACGAAAATGGTCAAAAAACGTTTAGTTTAGTTTAGTTTTAATGGTGATCTTCTTGCTGTACCTGCTGTCCAGTACGAGGATCTGGCCGCTGATGTTGCTGCCCAAGGTCGCGTTGCGGCTGTCCAATGTGCTGTACTTGCTGTCCATCGTCGCTAGCTGTCCCCCGTCCATGGTGACGTAACGCACGTCACTGCGCATTTGGTCTGTTGGAAGCTGGTATTTCACCTATGCCAGGTTGTAAGTTACGATATGGCAATCGTTATTGACACAATAAAAGTACAGCGACTTTCGTGGGGTCTTTAGACTGCAACTATGCATGCAAACAAACAGGTGGATACAAATGAATTAACCTGCATACAAGTATGTTGATAAATCTACAAATTTTGAATTTGACATATCACTCATGCTACTAGTTGTAAGGTCTAAACATTAATAATTTACATATTTGTACACAGTAAGGGTGTCCTTCTAGAATATATGAGGATATGTCTACTAAAATCGTTAGAAAAAACATCTATATCAAAATATTTTAGTTTTTTTCGGTGTCTTAAATATTGCCAAACATCCACGGTACCAATTGCTATCTTATTACCTGAACTCCTGGTAATCCCTGGACCACATTGCCTTGTGTCACTCCGGACTGTACCCCTTGCAGTTGGTACTTGATCTGTCCACCAGCCGACTGGACATTCTGGATATAAATGAATTAACCAGTTTACAAGTATGTTAATAAATTTACATGTTGAGTTTCACATATCACTTATACATACTACTCGTTGTAAGGTCAATTTATTATATAGTATTACTTATTTTATAACAGTAAGAGTTATCTTCTTCTAGAATATACGAGGATATGGATCAGCTTACTACAATCATTAGAAAAAACAACTATATCAAAACATATTCTAACTTCACCGGTTTATGTATCCGTTTATATAAAACCATTTGCTGTGAGCCTTATAATATTACCTGAACTCCTTGTAAGCCCTGCACCACATTGCCTTGTGCCACTCCCGACTGCACCCCTTGCAGTTGGTACTTGATCTGTCCACCAGCCGACTGGACATTCTGGATATAAATGAATTCACCAGTGTACACGTATATTAAAAAAGCTACATGTTGAGTTTGACATATCACTCATACATAGTACTCGTTCTAAGGTAAATTTATTATATAGTGTTACTTATTTGTACACAGTAAGAGTTATATCCTTCTAGAATATACGAGGATATAGATCAGCTTACTATAATCATTAGGAAAAAAAGTATATCAAAGCCGGTTTATGTCGCCGTTTAAATATAACCAATATAGCATCCACTCTAGTTTAAAACCATTGGTTTTCTTATAATATTACCTGAACTGTTGATAATCCCTGAAAAACAACTTTTATCAAAGCATTTTCTTAATGTCACCGGTCTATTTAGCCGTTTAAATAAAACCCAACATCCACTGTAGTGTAAAACCGTTTGCTGTCTTATAATATTTAATATTATTACCTGAACTGTCGATAAGCCATGGACCACATTGCCTTGTACTGCTCCCGACTGTATCCCTTGCAGTTGGTACTTCACTTGTCCACCAGCAGGCTGGACGTTTTGGCCTTGGTAATGGACTTGAGCAAACTGAACTATAGAGAAAATGGGATATCCCACTTATGACACCATGTTTAAAGGAATTATAACGTTAGGTAGGCTAAATCATGCTAAACCTTGAATTTCTGGATTGTACGTTGCTAATTCATTTGCTGGTATACGCAGTGAAAGAGGTGCTATTACTTCTTGCTCAGCTTTTTGTAGCACACCATACTCAATATTGAATTTCATAATGGACCATACTAAGTTACATAAATTACAGCGGGTGCTACCTGCTATCTTACTTCCTGTAGTAGATTTATGTTGTCCCAAGCCTCTAGCGGTATAGACGTATATTATGTCAGTTTATACATGTAGTTCAAACAAAGTAGCATTGACTCTCATAGGCGGTAACTACAGTTTATTGTCTTGTAGTTATGACCTTTGATGTTGACCTGTTCCACGCCGGTAAGGACGTATATTATGCCTGTTTATAGTGGGAATGAAGTAGTATTGACTCTTAGTTTGAAGTGATTACCTTGTTGTCCGATGCTGCCCTGTTGCACACCGGATTGCATGCCTTGTAGCTGGTATTTTACTTGTCCACCAGTTGGTTGTGCTTCCGCGCCTAAAACAATGAATGGAAGAATCTACATGATTGATTGAATAACTGGATGAAGAAATGAATGTCTCTAGCATGTTATCTCTCTACTTGGCCAACTCCTACTCTTTCCAGCCGCTTTCGAAGCCTGGTAGAGTCTACATTAAGTTCTTAGGTGTCACAGAACCACATCAAAGGTATCGTCTACCAGATACCTTTGACCCAGTGTTGACTTCATAGTTCAAAGAAGCCACGTGACAAGCCTCATTGGGTCAGTCTACTAAGGAAGACCAGAGTGACTGGGAGACAAAAGCTCTAGGTGAGAGAACGTTTTTGTGTTGGATCTAAAGTTTTAACTCTAAACAACAAAACTTCATGCCTGTGATAGAGCAACTCAAATGTACTAAACGTTGTGCATTACTCCAATGTACTAGACTGTGTACATTCATAAACAAATGCAGAACGCACCTTGGTAGTGAACCTGAGCGACCTGAACTGTTGGCAACTGCGCGACGTTAGTGTGTTGCACACCAGACTGCATGTCCGAGAGTTGGTACTTCACTTTCCCAGCGCCTGTAACCTGCGCTTCCGAGGTCTTGTACTTCACTTGTCCAACCTGAATGGCTGGAAGCTCGTACTTGACCTGCCTTATATCCGCGCCGTATGTCTGGAAAATACATAATTCATATCTGAATCACTACAAAAGCGACACCATATTGTAAATTACTGAATATATCTCCTGAATTACAGAATGTAATAATACTCTTCCTAAGAAAACACAATAGATTAGCTTTAGTATCATTAAGGAATAGCTCGTTAGAATTATATTTTAGTATTAATTTGTGTATGTAGCCTTGTTGTTTCTTTGCCATACATTGTACCAGCTACAGTTGTTGAGCAATAAAGTTGTATTGTATTGTATAAAGGGTGTAGAAACATCTATATGAGCTCTGAACAGATTCTAATGATGATGTTTAAAACATCATAAAACGCCTGTAAAGATCTGTTAGCAAGGACAAAACGCTCCCATAGTAAATCTAGATTAATACTGAAGGCGTGCGAATTTAAAATCAAAACGTTGATATTTCTCACTCAAGTTTTCAAGCTACTAATAGTTTCTAAGATAATTCATCGTATAAAACATATACTGCGATAGAAGGTTAGAGCTTTAGATCTCTAATCGACATTTTGTTTACACGAGTAACCTTCAGTGGAACCTGCCCTCAGGGAAGCTGATCCGCCATTAGAACGCGCCCTTCATGACGTCACAAGGTCACGCGATAGGCGGCTTTACATGACCATATTTGTCGATGTTTTGGCTGTCCGGTCAATTTGTGCATCCAGATTAAATCAATTTTACAACCAGGTAATGTTTAAGACACTGGCAATGTGGTAGCCTCTACCAGGCTTCCGGAAGCGGCTGGAAAGAGTAGAAATTGGCAAAACAGAGAGATAACATGCCAGGGGAGTTGATGGTCCGCTAGAGAGTTCGGTAGAGTCAATATGTACTCTCAAGTGGACCAAACTTCCCAGTCATATTTTCTCTCTATGTGGCCAATTTCTACTCTTTCCAGCCACCTCCCGACGTCTGATAGAGGCTAGCACATTGCCAGTGTCTTAAACATACGTTGTTGTAAAATTGATTTAATCCCGATGGAAAAATTGGCCGCACAGCCAAAACATGAACAAATATGGTCATGAAAAGCCGCCTCCCGAAGCCTGATAGATGCTACCAATGTGCCAATGAATGTGCAAACTATTCATCAGCCATACGTAAATCGTAAATAAATTATGTTTTTGTAATGTTTACTGATGCTTTTTTTCTGAAATGTACCTTCATCGTGCCGGCTAGTTTCATGGTGCACTCTATGACGTTGCTGGTTGCTAGGTTACTAGCTGAGATGAGCTCGTCCACAGCCGTTCTGAACATCTCGCGCTGGCTCTCGTCATCCGGATTCGCCACTGTGGTCTGTGTACGGGGGGAGGGGGCAAGGTGTCAGCTTCATAAAAATTACCGGTCAAGAGCGAATGAGGGAATACAACAAGAACATTGCTGTGAATGAGAGGTTAAAAGACAGAGATGTAGCCGCCATTGCTTCCTTTAAAATAGTGAAATTCGGCAATGTAGTTATGATGAAGTTATTCTTCGGCCAGGGTAGTTTGGTGGAGAGAGAAAGAAAGAGAGAGGAGAGGAGAGAAGGAGAAGTAAAAAGAGGTGGACAGAAAGAACTTGCGCAGCTTACATTTAATAGAATTTATTTATTTGTCAGTCATCGTATCTGGTGGAGACTAAGAGAGCTAGGAGAGAGACACACAGAGACAGAGTTCTTGGATTCTTAATTTTCCATGAGAAAACAGGTGTTGTGTTCATTTCTTATTTATTCTTTACTTCAGGCCAAAGGCCCATATAAAAACAGGGACAATAACAAAAGTACAAATACACAAATTACATACAGATGTTTAAAAAGTATGTTCTATGTTCCTTTATCTAGTATCACCACTGTATCAGGCTCTGACTTGCCGCCTCTATGCTTTACTTCGTTACTATTATTTTAAGATATACACACATATCATAAGATTTTCTGAAAGGAATAGTGTTCACCTTAACGGCTGTGACCATGTCTTGAGTCACCGCCGCCAGTTTCTTGGCCTGAGCGACCATCTCCCTTCGGACGTCTTCGTCTTTAGTTTCTCCCGCCTTGGTGTTGATCAGCCGAATCAAGATGGCGGCCGCCTGGAGTAAACAACATCGTTATTTCTTTCAGAGCAACACAAAGCAATACTTGTCTTTGTCTGTTTCCTTTTATCAAGCTGGATTCCCTGAATTCAAGTGAAATCCGTTAAAAAAAGTTCCCCAGATCAAGTTAATTTAAGACAAGGTGGTCTTCTTGAATCTACCACTAGGTGTTGCCACTCTTCCTAATTTGATCGTTAAGCGATGCTATGGCCCTCCATACAGCCCCTCACTAACCTGGATGCAAGACAGTTCTTAGGGCCAATAAATGGCCCAGCACCAAGTTAGCCGAGCCGAGGAGCTAGCCTGTATTCTGGCCCTGGCAACAGGCTGGCACCCAGGCTAGCCCTGGAGCCGAGGAGCTAGCCTGTATACTGGCCCTGACAACAATATGGCACCCAGGCTAGCCTTGGAGCTGATGAGGAGCTAGCCTATCCTATATACTAGGCCTGGCAACAGTCTGGCACCCAGGCTAGCGCTGGAGCCGCAAAGTTAGCCTGTAAACTAGCCCTGGCAAAGGCCTGGCACCAAGGCTAACATGTAACATGTAGCTTACCTCTCCCAGCAGTTTTGCGTTCTGCACCATCTTGGGCAGGTCGGAGAAACTGCTGAACACCATGTTCGCCGTCTGGATGATCGACTCCCGGGCCTCGTTATACTGCTGGGTCAGCTGGGACATCTGGCTCTGGGAAAATTAAAAAAGAACGTTGTCGTAAACTCTTTGGATTTTTATGAAATAAGACTAAACTTTCTCTGCCAACACTGGGACGAATTGGGACTTATCCAACATTTTAGGCCGACTCATTAAAACCTTGTTCACGGAATGGACCCGTTTACTCTTGGAGCGTGACGTCAGAGACACGTGACCGCAGTAGAGGGTCATACGTGCCAGATAACGTTCTAAAATCTTTGGATTTTTGTTTCAGAAATAAATGGGGGCGGGAAAAGCGTCTTCACACATGCATTTATCATTGTGGGGAAACTTGTGGAAACGTTTATTGACATAAAAGAAATCAAGTTCTAAAGTTGCTGTTTCTGTATCTGAATTTTTCGGTTCACAAATAAAAAGAAGAAGGTGCATAGAAGACCATAAAATGTTTGCCACTGGACTAGTATAATGATATCCAGTAAAACTTTCAACCATAGGCGTTCAATATCGTCAGGCGATTTACATAATATCATTTAGATAATCAGGACACGACAATGACCCCAACTGACCTCTGTGTACCGAGAGTTTGTACGAATTTGACCCTGATTATCCTGGTGATAAGGTACGTTTGCTAGACGAGTTAGACATTCACAATATGCTTTCGTGTTTGGAAAAATAAGCTTTAAGAGAATGCTTCCATCATAATTTTGTGTTGGCAGAACGTCAGTCTAAATTTGTTAAGTGCGGTAACCATTTTATATTAGAATTGTAGCTGGTCATAGAAGGTCAAGCTATGTACTGCGACACTGAGAGTAACCAGGAATGGCCACGTCCAGGTCAGGTCACAGGGTCACCCAACTTGTCTGTTGGAACGCGTAAGCGTTGGCGTTTGTTTCTGCTCTTTTCTGCCCTTTTCTTGCATGTCTTAACGACTCTGAAACGATTCTTGAGAGTTGAATAGTTCGTACACAAACCACAGAGCCTTTGTAGTGCCCTTCTAAGCTCTCAGTGTTCCAAGTTTCTGCCTAATTCGCTGCACAAGTGTGTGGGGAGGGCGGTCGAGCAGTGTGGTGGAGGGCAGAGAAGTGTGGTGCTTTTGTGTACTTCGGTCTGAGTTTAATGGCGAGGGAAAGTTAGAAATTCAGTCTGTTGATGTCTGTTATGTTGGTAGTGATCTTAGCACGGTATTTGAATGGACGAAATTGGAGAAATTTGTCAAATTCTGTCAAAATCTCGGTACAGAACAACGAGAGGTCAGTTGGGGTCATCAGTGGCTGTGTCCTGATTATCCAAATGATATAATTATGTAAATCGCCTGACGATGTTGGTATTTTAATAATGAATCACATGTTTTAAGCCTTTTCATTTTTCCAACAGGTGTTGCTGATAGCTGTGTGCATGTAAAACAACCACGAACACGGAAATGCCTACCACACAACCCCGTACTAAGTTAACAAACAATAGGATGTAGTTTTTTTTAATCTCCAAGCAGATGTTTCGTGGCCCAAAAACAGGCTAGACAATCTGCCAGGGTGGCAAATGGATACTGTCTGGTGAATGGATACTACCTGGCCAATTTGTTACTCTGTTTTTGCGGCCACCAAACATCTGCTTGGAACGTCGGTGAAGGTTCTGCTTGGAGATTCTTTGTTCCACATATCTCCATTAGTTTGTACAGACTGATAACCTATACAAACTTAGTCTTCCTGGAGTCGTTTTGCATGCAAACATTACACCCAAACTACACATTTTTACATACAACTACAACTTAACTACAACATGGTAAGGCTACATACTACATACTACACAACAATACAAGTAGTGCTGAGATGTCAGAGGTCTTCAAAAGAAATTCTAAATCTAATATTTACAATTTTATAGTAGTTTTCATGCATATGAATGTCAACAGAATTTTCGTCTGTGACCAACCCGCAAATAAATCAAGCGCTAATGTAATGCCCGTAGCAAAACAGACAGGAGTGGCCAACTTAATAACTAGGTCACAAAGCAAACGATTTTCTCTCGCGACTGACTCTTTTCACGGCGAAATTCTTTCTCGACTCGGCGACGCCTAGTTTTCCGCCATCTTGGTGACCTTCACCCGTAGAGGTCACCCATTGTTGTGATAAACACTGGAGATATTCATATCTATATTTATATTACAATGGCCACTATGACTTTTACACTACGACGAATTGCTTAAATCACGAGTATAGTATTATTCAAATCGCTATTCATATTCTATATGCACTGTTTTAAGTTGAAGGTCTGTATTCAGATGACTCATGTCATCCTCGGTAGCACAATGTTTACTGAAGTGCAGACGGCAAAGTATTTATCTGGTCCTTTCATGTATGAGAATATCACACTGTACAGCTGCCAGTTGTTTACAATGTGTAAGGGTACCCTCCGTTCCAACCTATAGTATACCACATACACATTCGCATGTAAACTTTCTCAATGTCTAAGGAAACAATACCTGTAGCTAAAATACCATGCACTGACTACAACATTGTGCCTCAAGCTAAATAATGATAACCTTCTAACAAGGCTCTTTTTTTTTCCTTGCTGTTTTCTGACTGTGTACCAGCTTGTACTGCACCCAGTTTAATTTACTACGCTAGTGTTATAAACCAGGCACAGTAAGAACTGATACACAGTCAGAAAACGTCATATAAGCCAAAAAAGTCCAACTGTAAGAAAGCTAGTGACATAATTGTACTGACCTCCCCAGCCTTGTATGTGTTAGTATGCGAAGCGCTGTCCCCTCCATCAGTGTAGCTGGTCAGCACGATAGTTGGGACTTTATCTGTTTTCTGCATGGAGATATGCGTCTGGAAAATACAAGAACGTCTGTTTTTAAGATTCTTTAGGGGTGTGGGAACATAGATAACCGTTGTATGTTTTATTTTGTAGCATAAGTTTAAGGACTAACTTGGTGTGACTTTTATGAGTTTTATGAACTTAAAGTTTTGTTTTGACGCACCGATTTTTTTTTAATGTTGACCACCTTTAGTTGGTTGACTAAATGTAACCATGTCTTGTCCTGTGTTAATGTATGCTGGGCTCCATTAGAGAGCAGCTTCTACTAGCTAAATGGGCTACCCAGCCGTTTTATGATGAAATAATAACAATAATCAATAAAGTGCTAATATGTATGTGCGTCTAGGTCCTGGACTAACAGAACACTGGGAAACATGGAGACACTTCTAGAAGCAGAGTGGGCTTAGTCCGGTAAAGCGACCTGATATGATGATAATGATGATAATACTTATATTCCACCGTCATCATACTAAGTCAGCCCCACTTCACCTCAATGTGTGTCAGGTTGTGTTTTAAGAACCTTCATTTTTCTTTGACCTACCCACCCGAGGAAACTATTCCAGTAATTAGCCATTGGCTATTTCAAACCACACCTCTTCTAACATCATTATAGAATGTCCAGACTACGTACGTAAGCGGTGCTCTGTCCTTGGGAGTAGAGCGCACAGGGCGTTTTTTTGTGATTCATATCTTCCGGACATCCTCTCATAGTCTACAAACTTAATGCCCTTTCACCGGGCTGACCATTTGACCTTCGTAGGGGCAAAACTGTGGCACACAGGACCGGAATTTGGCTTTGTTCTAATTTTCAAACTTGCGTAGCTCTTGCAGACCTGTCCTTGAGAGTAGAACGCACAGGGCGTATTTTCTTGGTGATTCATATCTTCCGGAAATCCTCTCAAAGTCTACCAACTAACAGTCATTTCACCAGATTGACCATTCGACCTTCGGAGGGCAAACTTGTAGCAGACAGGTCCGGAATTTAACTGGTCTAATTTTTAAACTTGCCTCTTGTAGACATGGATATTGTACAGAAAACATTTCGACATTGCATCATGAAATACAAAAGTTAAGTAAACCCTAAGGCAAGACGAGTTTGAATGCGTTAAAGGGAGGGGTATCTAATTGGAATGGACAACATCGATAACTTGCTTGTGATAGCCAGATAAGGCAAGACTTCCATACTAGAACCGTACTTGTTATGCAGCATGATTAAACTGTAATTTCCAATCTCTTGTGTTGGAAATTACAGTTTAATCTTGCTGCATAATGACTTCTACCAACACAGATGAACTTTCAAGATAAGAATCGTACTTGTGTTGTCTTTTAGAGGAGACATCACTGTCAATGTTTATAGTCGATTAGACAAAATCTAATTAAGAATTCAAACCGTAATACTGTAATACCCTTAACATAAAACACTACACCTGATTCTGCTGTTACACTGGGGTACAGAATCTAATTGGAATGGGTAACCTATTAGCATTGTTATGATAGGTTAACCAAGACTTCCATACTAGTATTGAACTTGTTTTGTTTTTCATGAAAGACATCACAATAACTGTTTATGATCAATGTAGATAGATTAGAATTTGAGTACTCAACCCGTAATCCTTTTATCTCAACATGAAAACATTTACTACGTTTGATCCATTGGCCAGAGAGAAGCCTTGGTTGGTGTATTGGACCCTCTCTGGTCAATGAATACTGTCTTTTGCCACCCTAGGATCTGCTTGGAGATTATTGTTAGTCATGGGGGTACATAAGTCATAGGGGATACAGAACAACCCCTGCAGCGCGGAATATTTTCTTGTGGCTCAAAACTATTCTTTTAACTTCCCAAAACCCACAAATTTTCGAAAAGGCTGGACATTACGTCTTCCATGGTTTACAGAAGAAACCCTTCAGACATAGTTGTAGATATAGTTATAGTTCTAGATGCCTTTATCATGTAGACTTGAGTTATTTTATACTCTGTTTCATTGCTCTCTTATGTTTTGTAATTGGCAATTAGCCCCCGGGCACGAATTTGCAATAAACTTTTCATTGTTAGTCATAGGTTAAAGAAGTCATGGAGGTTACAGAACAACCCCTGCAGCGCGGAATATTTTCCTGTGACTCAAAACTATTCTTTTAACTTCCCAAAACCCACAGATTTTCGAAAAGGCTGGACATTACGTCTTCCATGGTGTACAGAAGAGAAGTCAAACCCTTCAGACATAGTTTTAGACATAGTTATAGTTCTAGACAGCTGCCTTTATCATGTAGACATGAGTTATTTTATACTCTGTTTCATTGCTCTCTTATGTTTTGTAATTTGCAATTAGCCCCCGGGTACGAATTTGCAATAAACTTCTCATTGTTAGTCATAGGTTAAAGAAGTCATAGAGGGTACAGAACAACCCCTGCAGCGCGGAATATTTTCCTGTGACTCATTTTGTCCACAAATCTCTTCATCCTCTCACAACAGACGTTCCTTTTGTCTAGTTTTCTCGTCTGACCTTTTCGTATTAGGAGGATAAAATGGTGGAAAAACATTCCCATTAAACTGTTCGATGTACGTGAGTAGTTAACAGACTACTCTAGTTCGCAGCAACCTTTTCTAAGTAGCCTCTACCAGGCTTCGGGAGGCGGTTGGAAGAGTAGAAATTGGCAAAGTAGAGAGAGATAACATGCCAGGGGAGTTGGTCCACTAGACAGAACAGTTTGTCGCACCCGGCATGTTATCTCCCTCTCTCTGTTTTGGCCAATTTCTACTCCTTCCAGCCGCGTCCCGAAGCCTGGTAGAGGCTATGTTCTAAAATGATTCGTGTTATAAGTAAAATTATTCATTGATATGTTAGCGCTACTGGGAGACTTTGCCTGACAGAAGATCTTCATAATGTTTTGTTAGTCGATTCAACTTTTAAGCAAACAAGATGCAGTTTTGTAACAAATAAGAGTTCACAGATCATTTGTTTTGATAGGGATCCTGTGTTCTCGAAACCCAGTTATCCTTTGCATGTATAATACTGTAGCAACTACAGTGTCTATTTTACCTTTCTTGATTTGCGTACATTCTTATAAACGTCTAAAGGTGTATTTAAGACTATTGCTTGCTATGACAGGAAATTATGTGGGTTTCAGACATCCAGTATTATCGTTGTGTTAAACACAGACGGCCCAGTTTTAGTCTACCCGTATAGAATAGTTTAAAGGGCAGCTTTTGCAAGAATGTGTGTTCCGGTTTTTAACCACGGTATGCGACAAAGAGTTGCTGTGATTCGAACTACGTGAGGTGGTTCTAAACACGCCATTTTGTTCCAAGGCTGCCAACAAGGTCAAAATGTCACTGTCACTCGCCTACAAAGGCACAATTTTCACACAAACGTTTCTACTATTTCTATACCATGAATTAATAATAATGCGTATCCATACCCCAGTAAGGCTGTTATCGTACTTAAAATCAAATAGTATGTAGCCATTTCGTTCTCTGACTGTGTTTAAATGAGTTTTCAGAGCGTCGCAAGCTAAACTATTAGTCGAGTCATTCAACTGTGATTTTCAAAGCTCCACAACGCAAGAAAAATGTTGATTTGGTGTTAAAAGGTATGTTAGAAATTCCACCTACCGGGCTATGGTCTGTTAGGCTGCCCATCTCCTCAGTCTTTGGTTCGGTAGGCTTGGAGTTTTAGTTCTTCTTGTGTGTTTTTGGTGTTAAGTTGTGAATTCTCACGGTGTAGCTTGGGTGGTGGTTCTTCTAGACTGGTTCTCAGTCTGGTGATCTCTATAATTATAGTCCCCGATGCTTGCGTGAGGTAATGCCTGCAAATAACCTTGTGTCTACCCGTGCGTAGGGCGACATCATCACTCTGCCATTGGCACATTTGCAGGGGTGTTTCGTATATAGAATTGAATAAAAACTCCAAAATAGTGGATACAATTTCCCTAAACCCTAATATTTCAATTTCTTATGTACTTGTATAAGGTTACGTTTGCCTGCTAAGGTTGCGTTTTCTTACTTGAAAATCGAAATTAGCTAGCAATATTGACGCACAGAATGATGACTCCTCCGTAAGAAAATGGACTGTTCTATTTACGTCCGTGCCTGCCTATCCCCTGTTACTTCAGCATGAACGACGCTTGTCAAACCCACTTGACAATGATGACATTATCACCAACGTTGCCTGGCAACTCCCGCCAAAAAACGTCCGCCTTCTTTCTAATAAAAGCTAACAACAACGCTTCAACAACAAGCTAACCCCTCTAACGATTGCTATTTATCGTTTTTTAACAGTAATGTGATATTTGTTTGTGGATTTGTACGCTTTATTGGCTATCTGTTACTTGACGGACGAGTCCAAAATCCCCCGGGGTGGTAGTTGTCAAGAATGTGGGTACGTCACGTGGTGACGTCACGTGGTGATGACGTACTACTAGTAGTATGTCCTGTGCGTACGCGACATGAATGGTAATCTTCATGATCAACCTGCCCCTCCCTAGAGCCTGTGGTTTCGTCCCGCCCAGAAAGGGCGTGCGTACATGGACCGGTCCACTTTGATCACCAGAAAGGGGTAAAAAAACGTTGACGCAATTGTACTATACTGGATCTAGGACACTTCCTTTCATGGCAAAGTGTCCTTAAAATTAGTTTAAATAGTCTTTCGATGTGACCTCTGTTAACACGTGCTGTAAGTGGTAATAAAGCTGTTCATTTAGAGACCTGATTATTTAGCACATTTATTTACATAGTAAATTAAAAAATAGTCAAAAGACTAATTAAGAGGAAAAGTGGTGCTAGTACGTGTTTGGAGGGAAATACTTTTCAAAATTAAAAAAAAATGAGACAAATAGCTAAATCTTAAAGATGGTAAGATAACGTTAACGAAATATTAATATAATATTGTATCCTGTCTTTGCGGCTAATTATGATGGAAGTCAGCTCTAGTAAATGGTAACCATCAATCAAATAGGCAAAAAAACAACGCGAGACACATATTTAACCAGATGCATAATGAATTTATTTCAAGGCTTCGTCCTAGATTCGAAGAAAAATAATATCCATACATTTGTTGTACACGTTTGACCCACTTAATAAACAATCATCACACCACAAGGCAACACGTGTTTTTTCTAAAGTACATTTACATTATGAGCTGCACTGTGAATAAATAGACACAAAAGGGAACAATACACTCCAACACGACTCTTTTCGAAGTTAGATTTACATGAGTTGCACTATGTAGTAAAATATACACATATTAGGGAACAACATACGAAATATTGTAAATCTGTTAAAGTGTGCTTTATGATTTCTATAATAAGCTGCTAACAAGACATAGTCATCAAATCAGCAATTATGTTACAACATAGGTGTAAACAGTTAACATTATACATATATATATAGTAGTGTATTGATCCCTTGTAT